AGTGGCAGCACCAACACCAAAGCCGCGGTTGGCTGGCGCTTCGTGGGGGTCGCTGCCTCCCACCCTCGCCATCGGGCGAGACCGTCCGCTTGGGGGACGGTGGTTTGCCTCTGTGCTATCGCCGGCAGGCGACTGCCGCTGTGCTTTATCTCAGCCCAATCTCCGTCCCTCGCACCCGCCCACCCTCTCTTCCCAAAGCGCTGGAGGGGGTTGACGGAGAGGGTGTTGATTGGGGGTGTCAGATTGACGGGCAGCGGCCCTCGCCGATGGACGACGGGGAGGTAGTAGTCCACGAGGCTGCCGTCGCCAATGATTGACATTGAGCTGCCTTAGATATTTGCTGGTGAAACGTGATATCGCAAATGAAGACTGCCGGGAGCTCTGACTGATGATGTCGTTGATCGTGCCCCCTGCTGCGGGGTCACGGGAGCGGACATCGCCAGCGGGGATTGTTCGTATCTCAAGATCAACACTTGACAGAACAGACGCAACACCAAGTGAACAGTCTCATTGACAGTCTTTACGCTGATATTTGGGACGTCGTCCCACGGCTAACAAAACTGTGGATTTGCCCGCGATTGCAACTCCACATCAAATTGACTCGACGGCGCAGGCAGTGGCCATTCGCTAGGCCTCGGGAATCGGGACAGCATCGCTTGGGTCTCCCGCGTCTTGGCCGCCACAACCCGCGCTCTCAGCAGCATTGGACGGCTCTCGAGAAAATCATTCAGGAATCAAGATGTTGATGGCCTTCTGCGCCTGCCAGCTCATCGAGGCGGTGAATTCGAGATTTGTCTGAGGCGCTTCGGGATGTCTCTCATCCGATACACGCCATCCTCCTCTGTGTATCGTCTGACAGTGGCATGGCAAGATTCGAAGAAGCCGGCGCTTCCAGCGACCCAAATTCCCGCCATGAGGACTGACATGTTGAAACGAAACCCCGCTGTACCTGCCCTGCTTTCACTGCACAGCCAAGATCGGACGCTGAGCATCACTGAGGAGAGCGACACCACATCCAGCCCTGCGACCGATCAACTGCGGGGCGGGCTTCCAACTCGGTCTGCGGTTGAAACTTGAAACTTCTTTAGGTTAATCTTTCCGATGCTCGCAGCAGCCAAACTACTCGGCATCTGCCACTACTGCCGTGTCATACCATCAATTAAAGTTGCGAATTTGGAGATGCACATCACAGTCAAACAGTCAGGAGAGGAACCACCCCTCCATGCCTCCAACCAGCAGTGGGTGGCGGAACGGCCGGATGCCAAGGAACCCCGGCTGGCGCCCGCCCCGACCTCCGATACGGAGCATGGTGACCCAGGCCGGAGACGGAGAGCGGATCACGGAGAACCCGGAAACCCGTTCCAAGGATGTCCCGGCGGCGCACAAGCCACGGACGAAAAAAAAATGGTTGTGTTTGCTCCGTGACGTGTGGACACTGAAATTTCCAGATTGTGGGTGAGTCTAAATGCCCTCGTTGAGGGATATGTTGGGGCTGTTAAAGTCGGTGGTTTTGGAGGGCAAAAGATCGAGGGAAGGGAAATTTTCCGCCTGTCGCGGGATTTTTTGCTCGGCATGTGACATTTCCTGGTGATTCATTTTGACTGACGAGAGAAAGTCATGAGATGGCCGACTGGGTTTCGAGTGGTGATGAGTTGCGTGCTGATTTCTGGCGGTGGGTACGTTCCTGATGCCATTCTTTTTGAGAAGTCAACAGAGCTGACTCCTGCTGGTGATCTGGGCTTGGAGCTCCATGAATTGTAATACGGCACCATCTTACCATCAAATCGGGATCATACACGATTAATCGGGTATGGTGTAGCGGTAACATCGGTGACTCTCACATCAGAGAGGTTCTCACCAGCCCGGGGTTCGACTCCCCGTATCCGAGTTCTTTTTGCACTTCACCTTATCTCTCTCTCTTAGAGAGGCGAGTTTTTGGTGCAATCGTTTTGCTCCAACCTCCCCAACCACATTGGGACTGATAGAAACTGAAGTCGTCTAGCATCGCCTGAGCTGCGGTAGTTCATCCGTCACAAGCTGAGCGTGAAGGAGACAATACCATTGACATCAATACAATCTTTTGTTTCTACACACACAGCTCTCTTTCTCGAGGGGTTGTTCAGCGAGGGAAAAGGGTTGGAGGACACTGTGGGCGAGAGGAGGGGGGGGGTTTATAGTTCCAGAAATTTCATATGGTGTCATCGCAACTTCCTTCTCCTTGGTTGACGTGGCTGCCGTGTTCCAGGATATTGAGCATCAAGTGAGATCATGCTCTTTGCTTCTATAGTGTTGCCAGTTGTGTCGGAGGTGGGACAGGGATGCCCGAAGTCAGGGGCGGAAGAGACGTTCACCATCTCAACCCCATGGGCTCAGTCCAGCGCGGCGTCGGTTGAGACAACCCCGATGGAAGGTCTTCCCTCGCCAGGGTCGGAAGATGAGGCTACGCCCTTCTTGCTTTGTTTTTTCCGAAGAACTTTCCATTGCGACCAGAGAGGTGAGGTTCTCTGCGGGCAAACCAACTACCCTTCCCCCCTCTGGCTGCCCGTAAGCATGCTTATCAGCCCCGGTTGACTGTGCCGTCTCTGTTATGTTGGTCCCCGGAAGGCACCAAGCACCCTCTTACTCTTCAATTTGCCAGTCGGCTGTCTATTTTGCTCAAACCTCGGGATGGCAGCGTCATTGAACAACCTTCTCCACGACTGTGCTAGATGATCTGAAGGCTGCCGTGCTCGTCAATATCTGATCGCACCGAGAACCCTTAGTCTCGCCTTCTTCTTACGCCAAAAAAGACCACCGTGGGGTGGATATTGAATAGCCAACGTGTTCCTTCCCCTGGGCACACGAGTCGGCCACCCACGCTACATCCATCAACCGTTGGCGGTCACCACGTCCAGCAGCGTCACCTGTCCTTCAAAGTTCCCTACCGCAAGCACATCGCCGCGGTGATTGAACGCCGCTGCCGTAACTAACGGGTGTGATGGTAGCCGGTATTCCGCCAGGAACTCACCCGTATGGGCATCCACCACATCGACCCCGTCCTCCGTCCTTGACACTAGCAACCGGCAGTCCGCAGATATCGCTAGCGGCCACCCCTCTGTTGGTCGCACATCATCCAGATTGAACGTCGACACATCCTCCTCATGGATCTTCCACACCAGCACCTGCCGCCCCCACACCGTCACCACAACACTCCCATCCGCTGCGATTCCCATCAACCTCGCCGGCACCTTGGTCTCAATCTGCACCTTCCTCAACGTCCTCCCATCCCCCACATCCGTCATCCGCACCCACCCGTCCTCGTCCGCGCTGACCACCACCCCCTCATTCGGCACCAGCACCAAGTGCGTTACCCTGGCCATGTGCCCTGCGAGGACCCTCGCGATCGTCCACTTGCTCCCGCTCGCGAACCCCGGGCGCGTCAGCACCACGATGCGCGTCGGATCCCGCAGCGACACGCCCACCACCAGCTTCATCGACGCGCGGCACGCCAGCGGCGCGCACACGTCGAGCTCGTCGCGATACATGCGGACCTGGGACAGGAGGTCGTGCGTCTCGACGAGGGCCGGTGCGTCGTAGCTGTTGTGGCGCTTCTCGGAGCGGACGTAGCCCACGAGGACTGTCGCTGTGCCGGGTTCGGGGGCCACGGCGAAGCCGCCGATGGAGCGGAGGCCGTAGCCGCGCGTGCGGCCCTTTGTCTGCTTCTCCTCGAGGGAGGGGAGGTCAAAGACGAGGACCTCCGCGGTGCTGTCGGTGAGGAGTCGGGGTTTGTGGTTGGGCTCTGGAGGTACGGCGCAGAGGATGTGGCGGTCGGACCCGGTGAAGCCGAGTTGGAGGATCTCGTGAGTGTCCGGGCCTGCGCGGGTGGGAAAGCGGGTTTTCTCGACGAGGAGGACGGTGCGGAGGGGAAGTTTGGGTCTAGCTGGGAGGGATGGCGGGTCTTCGGCGGGCGGGTCGTCCCATTTCCGGGGGGGCGCGCTGGCGAAGTCGTGGGGGGGAGGGGGGGTGGTGCGGGAGCCGGATGGCACGCCGGTGTTGCCTGTTTGGGGCATTGTGAAAGGTTTTTGAAGATTAATGGAGCCGGTTTTGGAGTTCCGGGCAGGAGGGACTTGGCTTGTCACAATTGTGGCGCGTCGTAGGTGTGAGAGAATATGACGTTGACTCTGTCGAGAGGGGCGCCGTCATCTTTTAACTCCCGACCGGCGACATCGCTGCTGCATCCTCGGCTGATGTGACCCCGCCCCGGCAATCAAAACGGCCGATTATCCGGTTTCTTGGCCCGGATGCCGAGCGCCAAGATCTGCGCCGTCGGCCGTTGGGGCTTCGGCCCTCTGCCGACCTCCCGGATGCTACCTACTGTCTACGAGAGAGGCAGATGGCGGATAGTGCGGCTGCGAGGCTATGGTGGGTTGGGGGGTAGACGACGTTCTACATGTGCTCCGCGTCATTGGATCTCGGTTTGGTACGGCGAGCACGGAGTGGCACATGATATGTGTCATCCGTGAGATAAAGGGCTGCGTCTTGCGGCAAGCAACTGAGAGGGGGGCGTTCATGTGATCTTTGCAAAAGTAATGTGATTGTTGCCCAAGAGGAGGTCTTGCAGTAAAGTTTTTCATGCGCCGACATGTCTTTGCGGCCGGCCACGTGCGAAGACGGACGGGCTGGTACGGACGAGGATACGGAGCATGGACGGTGATGGTTCTCTGTGGCGTTGAAGAACACGGCCGGACTGGGGTAAAAGAGGCGAAGGGTACCGTACTCGCTATGAAATGGATGTGGTTCCATAAAGGCAAACATGGTGACGATACATACGGGCTTGTTGAACAGCGCACCGGCTCGTCCGAACTTGTACAGGAGAGCAAGGCTGCACCATCCCGCCCTCTGCCCACAAATCAAGCACCCCACCGACCCCTGCCTTGGTGAAAAAAAAAGCCCTGCACAGGCACACAAATGCGGGCAAAAAGTCAACATCCAACTGAACCATGTCCGGTTGGAGGGAATCTTGGAGGAGCTGGGAATCGAACCCAGGACCTTTCGCATGACTGCCCTGCAAGAGAAGAATCCATTGCAGATGCCATGCTAAGCGAACGCTCTACCAACTGAGCCACACCCCCTTCCTTACTTGATGGCAGGAGATGTCGCTATCATCACTTCTCTTTTCACATCCAAGGCCGGAGAAGGGCGTGATACCCGACATCCCCGCCGAGAAGCGCCTGTCGTATCTGAATAGAGATCTTTGCACGGCGAGTGCACCTGTCTAGTAACAAGTCCGTTCCCCGTAGAACTGCATCCAAGCCATGCTATCCCAATACTCCAGTCCCATGTCCCCTGCCGTGCCGTGCCTTGCCATGCCCATGACTACCACCATCCCACCCCGTCCAGTGATACCATACCAACCCCATTTTGACAAAACAAAAGAATACACATAAAGAACACGCCATTTGGAATCACCACCGAAAGACTAGATGTGATTCAAACCCTCCGTGTGGCCAACAGCCCCGCCTCCCCCTGCCAGCCTATCCACCTCCACGAGCTGCACTGCGCCAGCGCCACCCGAGGGGCTATCTGGTGGGGTCGGCGGCTCATGGGGTTGCAGCGTGATCATCCCGGCGCGCGACAGGCAGGCATTCACGTCGTCGAGGTGGTCGAGCATGTGGCCCCGGAAGGAATCCCAGAGACCGGGGCGTTCAGCTGGTTATGCGTGTCAGCAAGGGCATGGGTTTGGGCGGAAAGAAAAGCAAGATGGGGAGTGCTCACGTCGGATATCAGGGTGGTCTTGGGTCGCCCATTTCGTGAGACCAAAATGCGAGGGGACATGGATCATGAAACCTTTGTCGGCGGAATATTGTTAGTGGCTGCGGTGCTGGATGGGCTGATGGAAATTGGGGAGGCCCGCAGAGGATGTGGAAAGAAACCTACTCAAAAACCCAGTTCCCACCTTTCCCACCGCCCTCGGGCTCAGCGACTGCTCCTGGTCTAGAGCATAGGACTCGTAGCTCTCTCCATGGGGCATGTACGAGGCCTCAAAGCTGAGCCCGCCCGGCTCGAGTGGTCGCACGCTGCCCTTGTACTCGCCGTGAATGACACCGCAGAGTTCCGCCGCCATGGTGCGATGGAAATACGGGATGCGCATGGTGTCTTGGTTGACTGCCCACTTCTCGCCAAAGATGCAAAAGTCTACGGCGCTGACGGTAGGATACTTCGAAGGGGCTGTGAGGACACTGCGGCGGGGTTGTTAGAAGCCGTCCCAAGGGAGATCGGATCTGTGGTAAAGACATTGGAACAAACAGGAAGCAATACCAATAAGCCGTTGGGTCGAGCTGATCTCTGTTGGCCGACAGGTGATGGAACCTGGACAGATCATAGCGATACGGAGCATGGCAGCCGTGCCACGCCACGACGTCAAACGGCGTGTTGGGCTGTGTGTACGAAAAGAGACGGCCCGCGAGCTTGATGGTAATCTCCCATGGGGCGACGCCCGGAGGGGGTGTAGGGTCGAGATCGAATGCGGCGACGGGGTACTCAAAGTCGCGGACGTGGGCAAGTCCGTTGCCTCCCAGGACACCAAGCTCGGGGAGCTTGAAGCGGGTCCCGTAGACCTCGAGGGCGTAACCCGCCGCGTGGGGGGGCGCGAGATCCGTCTGGGAGGGCACAATGGACACGGAGAAGCGGATACCTGCCGGCATCACTGAGATCACGCCAGGAGGGACACGAAGGCAACCCATCTCGGTCTTGATATCCAGTTCGCCATGCTGCGGGATGAGCAGGAGATCCCCGTCATGGTTGACGAATGCTTGGCGATGCATATCGGCGTCAAAGGCGTACTGATGCACAGCGAGGCCCTCCTTTAGGGTGGCATCGCCGTTGCCGCCAATTGTTTTCAGCCCCTGGATAAATGTTGTCTTGCCGGGGGAGACCGGGGGGGCGAGAGGTCCCCAGGTATGCGGGAGTGGCGTGAAGTCGACGTTCGGGTTCATGGGGAGGAACGACGCATGTATCTGCCCAGAGTGTGAGAACCAACAACCTCGAGAGGAACTTCCCGGCATACCTGATGCTGTGTCTGAACCGGTCTCAAAGGCCCGTGTGGGGCGCCCGGCCGCTCTCTAAACATCCATCTGCGAACAAGGTCAGCGGATGCTAGGGCTCCATGTGGGAGACGAACCTTACACATTCGAGACTGTCTCTCTGGAAGAGATAAAGGATGTCCCGTTAAGGTGTTCAGGGTAGAGACCGAACCTGACCTTGGCCGGCAGGTTGGTGCCATTATGTGGCAGGGCGCCTGGGATAGCCTCCGTGGCATGATGGTTCCCGAACCCATACTGATAGCGGTAGGGGTCAGTTGACGTGGTCTCCCGGACGAGACCCGTAGCTGCCGCACTCCCCATGAATTGGTCCTTGCCAAACATGGCAAAGGTCGGCAGAAGGCGGCGATGTGTGCGAGATGGCAAGGAGAGGAGCGAAAGGTGCCTGATGTGTCGCGTGCTCATGAACGACAGATAAGATACGACAGCAGGGAACCCAATAGGCAAGTGCCAGAGCCAGTCCTCGCCTGGGCACCTTGATGTCCTTTATACCGCTCCCCGGGAGAGCCCCCCTGCCCATGAAGAGGCCCATGTGCGAGAGCGGTGGTGGAGGGTCTGCGCTTTCACTGCTTGTCGCAACTGCCGGCGGTCGACAAGGAGAGAGGCAAGGGAGGCCATCCTGGCATCTCCTCGGTTTCTCGCGTATAGTTGGATCGGACCAGGCAGTAGTGCCCAGTACCCAACTCCTAATGGTGCCAGACGCGATGCTCATGGATACCCGCACCCCTGTGCGATGCCGCGCCGATAGCAACCAAGTTGTGGAAGGCTTGGTTTCGGAATTGCCGTCGTCCTGTAGTCTCCGAGACGAGGAAAGATACAACCCAAAAGAAAGGCCCGGTTGTTACGCCCGCCTGACGCACATCCCATCGTCCTATGATAAGATCAACGGCGGCCAGATAGGCGGCCATTGCAGGGTGCCCCTGTCCTCGGTACACAGCACCCAAAATGTCGAGATGGCGGGAAGTCTTCGATCTGTCACCGCAGCACCGCCTCGGGGCCTGTCCAGTCGCACACCCGCCAAACGTCTCTGGCGCAAGTGCCTGCCGCCATCTGCGCCGCTTGCGTGATGGGTCCTGCGTTAGGTAACGTCGGCGGCCTCGCTTCTCAGCCGATGCAATGCAGCAGAACAGTGCCGAGGAAGGCGAGGGATTCCTGTGATGCCCGACCGGGAGAGCGACGAGTACGCCTTGGCACTCCACCGACCGCCGGCATCGACGGGGGATGATGGGATCGATATCTCTCGGCGAAAGCAGAGATTGGAAGGGGATAGCACAAAACTGAAGATGCGTGGGAGAGGCCGTGCTCAAACTATTCGGGCAGAGCAACCAGCCGGGAGAACTTGTGATGAAAGTGACGTCCGTCCCAGAGAGCTGGGTCGTCTTGACACTGAAGTGGTCAGCCCCAGCCCCCACCCCCGTTTCCCGCGGCTAACCCTTGCCCTCGCGAGCGCCTGAATGGCCCACATGCGCTTCCAGCGTCGATGGCGGGTTGACGTGCCCGTGCTGGACGCTGTGAGGACGACTGTTGGGGTAAGGAAGTCGATCCGGCTGCCGGCCGATCAAAGACTGGACCGTGTACTGCATGTTTGTCTTGCTGCGTACGGCCTAACGCCGTGGAGTCGCGTTCAGCACACGGTGCGCCGATGCGAATGCCATTGCCACCGGCTGTCAGTGACACCGCATCCGGGCTGCCGTCTACGAGCCCGGCAGGCAACGTGCTATCGAGTCCGCCGCACCGCCCTGGATGGGAGAAAGAAAAGCTCTAGAAAAAATGGGGTTGCGTGAGGCTCAAGTCCTCATTGGGCAATGTGTCTCGAGAAAATTTGTGCGCAAAGATCTCCACCTGCATCTTGCGCGGCTCGCGGCTAGCCAGGCAAACAACAGCCCTGGCGTGGGACGAGAAAAATCTTTTCTTTTCTTTTCTGCTTCCATTGCCTGCCCTTGAGCAGGTGAGCAGAGGAATATGCAGATCTGGCCAAGATAGCCTGTGAAAATCGGACCCAGACAGGCTATACCCCTTCGGCACCGTCGGGATCACCGCTGGTCCCTGGAGCCAACGTCTTTTGCCATCGATCCACCTGTATCCAGGTGCGGGAGTTGTACTTCTGACCAAGGCCGTGCGACCCTTTTGTCGGCCTCGAAGCGCCTGCCTACTGGCGATCGAATCGAAGGCTGTGGTGTTTCCAGCTTCCGGAGCACAGCAGATACGGACGTGGTTGAACCGAGTTGGGCTCGGACGTCTGTCTGTTGTGCTGCCGAAGGCGAGAGGCGGCCATGAATCAGCGTCATCCATCGACCGTTCACGGGATCTTTTGTCGGCGGCGCCAGACCGCTAGTTTCAGAGATCATGGCGTAATGGTCTAGCACGGCTGAGGCTGTATCAGTTGCATCGAATTGCGGCGGCAAAGAGCCAAGTCTTGATCCTCTCTTCCCCCACACCGCAATTCGACGACGCAGGGCGCGGGGGTTAGGCTGCCGCGGCCGGTGTACATAGGCGTGTCTCCGGCTGGACATATGACGAGACTATCCTGCATATGCCAACGTGGTCTGCAGCCCGGTCAACAACAGGGCCTCGGCCGTCTTTGCATGGCGTCTGGTGCGCTTAGCCAGATTGTCACTGGGGTCGGTCACTGTAGTCCCACACACCCTGTCTCACTGTCAGCTCAACGCTGCTGCCATTCCTAACCGTGGTACCGATGAGAGCAGCGGACGTCAACTTGATCCGTCCATGCGGCCTTTGAGAAATCCGACGGCTCCCATTGCCGACGCGGCACGCAAGACGAGGCACACCGATGCTGCTGACGGCAGGCGGAGCAACACGCGGCCAATCAGGCCATGCCCGCTCTCGCTCAACGCCGTCGCATGGGCCCTCTGTCACAACACCCTAACCCGGCTTCCGGACCCGTCTTCGGGACGCCAAGGCGAGCTTTTTGAGTCCTCGTCTGGGTGCCGTGGTTTCTCGATTGGCCGAACAGGTCCAAACACCGATGCGGTCTCCTCGTCGGATATCTGTCCTGAGACAAAAGGAGGGCG